ACTGGGTGGATTATTAAGATTTAAATTACGAGTTATCCGTCAGATTATTAAGATGTTATGCAAGATTCAAGATTACGATTTCTCTTTGATTCATCTGCGTTCCACAGGATCGAATTTTTCTTTAAAAATTAGCATACATGTAAAATAGGTTAAAAATAAACCTGATTTGAGAATTTTATTTCGCGTTTTGTTTGTTTGTCGTTCCTGGGTTCAGATATTTTAAACCTGGAGAATGTACAGAGATGGACAACTGATGGGTCGAGAAGGTTTAGAACAAAAGAGTAAAAAAAAATGTTCTCGATTTTCTTGAAATTTTTAGCCTTTTGCATCATATATATAGGCATACAGGAGTATGTTTGTATCCTGTATATAGGTATACGGGAGTATGTTTGTATCCTGTATATAGGTATACAGGAGTATGTTTGTATCCTGTATATAGGTATAAAGGAGTATGTTTGTATCCTGTATATAGGTATACGGGAGTATGTTTGTATCCTGTATATAGGTATACAGGAGTAGGTTTGTATTCTGTATAGAGGTATAAAGGAGTAGGTTTGTATCCTGTATACAGGTATATGGGAGTATGTTTGTATCCTGTTTATAGGTATACAGGAGTAGGTCCTGTATATAGGTATACAGGAGTAGGTTTGTATTCTGTATAGAGGTATAAAGGAGTAGGTTTGTATCCTGTATATAGGTATACAGGAGTAGGTTTGTATCCTGTATATAGGTATACAGGATTAGGTTTTTATCCTGTATATAGGTATATAAGAGTAGGTTTTTATCCTGTATATAGGTATACAGGAGTAGGTTTGTATCCTGTATATAGTATACAGGGGTATGTATGTATCCTGTATATAGTATACAGGGCTATGTATGTATTCTTGAGTATATTTATTGCTGTATGACAAGGTATCCCTGAGTTTCCTCCTTGCTTTCTCCTTCTCCAGGCCAATTCTCCTACAGGAGTCAGATCCTATCCAACATATCTCCTGGGAAAGCAAGTTAAGAAACAAGAAAATGAAAGATTATTAGTGTGACATGGAGTTATATCGTGGAAAGAATGGAACCCTGGAAGCAAGGGTTCCGAAAAACTTTCCTTTTGAGATTAGTTACAGAGAAGGATTAGGAAGATGTTTGTTTGCAACCCGTGAAATTCGACCTGAGGAAACTGTTCTCACAGACTCAGCAATACTTTTAGGTAACTATACCCTTTAACCGTACCCAGCAAAGTATAATTCGATTCATATCTTTTCATGTTTCACCTCTAGGTATAATGGGCTTATTTTGAACCTCTTCGTAACCCGCCCTTACCCCAGTCTAAACCTTAAACTTATCCTTAGGTTACCCCAAACAGAATCAAAATTTAATCTATATTTCCTGAACCTAATTTGAGCATATGCTGAGCCAAGCTGGAACAATCCTGAGCCCATCCTGAAAATATCCCAAAAAAATCATGAACCTAACCTTATCCTTATAAACCTAAATGTAAACTATGATGAACATGACTTGAACGCAACCTTTTTTTTAATCTATCCTAATTTTTTTTCAGCATTTATTCGAATTTTTTTTTCACCTAACGTAATTTTTTTCTTGAGCTTCACCTGAACCAATACTATATCTAACCTGAACCTATCTAAACTTATCCTGAACCTACTCTTAACCTAACCTGAATGTCTCATGAATCTATCCTTTCCCTATCCTCAACCTATCCTGAACCTATCCTAAACCTATCCTGAACCTATCCTGAAACTATACTGAACGTATCTAAACCAATTTAGAACGTTTATTGTTAATTATTTTTTCAGGTCCTTCAAACCCTGATGTTTGCATTGTATGCTGCTCTGAGCGGGATCGGAGAAAGTGCCGATTGTGTGATTTTTACGTGTGCTCATGGTGCATAGACTCCCACTCCGACGAGGAGTGTTCCGTTCTAGTAAAAGTCGGATACACAAGGGATATGTACAATGTAGTTCTACCAGTCCGGTTTGCGCTTCTCCAAGTGCGTGATAATGATATGTTTACATGGCTTCTCCAGTATATGGACCATAATGAGGAGAGAAACCGCAAAAACAAATCCTTACGGCGGTCTACAGAACGGATGGCTTTAATTGTTTCCTCAAGTGTTCAAGGGATTAGCATTGACCTTGCTCTTCAAATAATTGGAATATTATTTACTAATTGTTTTGAATTTTCATCACAAACAATTCGTGCTCGGGCCCTCTACCCGCTAGTTTCTCTGATAAACCATTCCTGTATACCAAACCTTAGGCACACAAACCTCATCAAGGAGATGAGAGGAGTAAACCTCAACGGAGAGATAGTCGTGATGGAGCTAGAGACTCAGAGAACCGTTATGCCTGGAACCCAGCTTACGATCAGATACAATCATTATACTCAGGTTACTTTATCTATCTATCTATCTATTTTGTAATCCATTTATTTATCTATCTATCACAGTATCTACCCATCTACCCATCTAGCTATCTACATATCTATCTCAATTCATCATCATAGGAATCTAAGATATAAAAATTTACACGTAAACCCATTCAACCATAGAAACTCAAGTGCTCATCAATACTAGTCTCAAACCATTCCCCCTTTCTTCCCCCCTTTCCTAGCCCTTTCCGTTCCCCCTTCCCTTCCCCCTTTCCTAGCCCTTTCTGTTCCCCCTTCCCTTCCCCTTGTCCCTTCCACTTTATTGCCATTTTCTCTCCTTCTCTATTATCTTCTATCACTCTCCCCGTAAGTTCACCCTTTGTTCTACTAATGCCTCTGTTTTCCTACCCTGGCGCCTCCTCCCTTTTCATTTCCTCTCCCTTCGCTCCTTTCCTCTCCCATCTCCCATACCATTTCTTTCTTTTGAATGCCCTTCAAATGCTCTTTCTTATCCTACCTCTTTTTTACTGATTTCCTATTTCTCCCAAAACTTCCCTTTCACTCAAGTTTTGTGCACAAATCTTTATTGGATAAAAGTCCCCAAACGCTTATTATTTAGTTTAAATTCGATCCTAAGAGTCTTTTTAGAATAATATCCTGAACTGCTTTTAGGTTTTACTAGGTAATCAAAGGAATTGAGTCTTTGCCACAAATTCAGATTTTAAAATTTCAGATTTTATATTTCAAACTATGAATTATGTTGGACCAAATAATCTAAGTTTGAAATATCAAAGGTTTACACCATCAGATTGCCAAGATATAGAGATTAGAAGATTTGAGTTTGTGACAAAGACTCAATTCCTTTATATATCATTAATTTTTCTTCAGGGAAACCTACAAAGACAAAAATTCCTGTCAGAGCAATGGTTCTTCCGGTGCCACTGCCAGAGATGTGAGGATCCAACGGAATTTGGGACCAATACAAGTGGATTACCTTGTAACCACTGTTCAGGGATTATACTTCCAACGAGTGATCAGGGTTGGGTTTGCAATCAATGCGGTGAGACGGAGAGCATCGACAAGGTTCAATTAATGGAGGAGAAGCTTCTCAACCTTGCTGAAACTAAACCCTGTCCGTTCAATATCACCACATCACTTCAGCAACTACATAATCTCAGTAAAATACTCCACACAAACCATTTTATCTTAATGGATCTCAAAGAAAAGTTTCTGTTTGGTTTCAGTATGAATCTGCGAAAGGTTCGCGACCTGTCTTTGGATCAGAAAAGAAAATTGGTGCCACTTTGGAGTGCTCAGGAGAAGTATTGTCGTCAGCTCCTGTCCTACCATGAGATACTGGATCCTGGAAAAAGTCCTTTAAAAACAAAACTCCTTCTAGAGCTGAGGAAAATTCTTCTCATCCAGTCTAAGGTTTTAAGTGAAGAGAACAAGGATAAGGATGAACTTGTGAGAAAATTGAATGAAGTGAAAGGATTGAATCAGATGGTTTATACTCAGGTTTCACTCTAGGATTGAATCAGATGGTTTATACTCAGGTTTCACTCTAGTCGATCTGGAAATATAAAGTTTCAAAATGATTCCTATTATATAAACTAGATTCATAAAATATATGATATAAACTTTTTCATGTGTATACAATGCTATTTAATAAAAGCGCAGGAAATATGAGTTGGTTTTTTAAAAAAAATATCTAGTACCCGATTATTGTTATCAAGGAAACTTGTAATGTTTGAAATGTACCTTTGTGAAATGTTAACGGCATTTTTTATTTGGAGGATCGTTCAAAATTTTACTGACAATTACTTAATTGCAGTATTAGTTGTATAAAAGCATCTATATATATAAAGTAGTAATCTCTGTATGTTTGTTTGTATGTCCGATGGTTTGCTTTGATAGAGAAGACTTAGTTTCAGGGCAAAGGTGGGTTCCCAAGCTAGCGAACAGTAAAATTGATTTTAGGTCGTGATAGGAATAGCTTATTTTCAGTGTACTCAAATATACTTTTTTCTCTATCTATAAATCCGTAAGAAAATCTTGATACATTATGATTGAAAATTCTCAATTTTCAGACAGCAAGGCACAAATATCTTTTTAATGGGGGCTTACTTAAACCAGCGTCTACACTCTACATGTCCCTTAAAGTAATGATTATAAATATCGAAGACAATAGAAAATTGTCAAAAATGATCAAGATTATGCTAAAAAAATCTGATTTATGACATGATGTAAAGCAACGTTTTTAAAAGAGTTAACAAAGGAATGATTAATGTTGCATGGAATGACAAATTGCAGATTATTGCAAAACGAATTTTACGGTTTTCCTATTTAGATTAAATTCAATTAGAGATATATGTAAACAAATTGAAATTAAAATAGCACTGATTTTAACATATTTTAGATACAGTGATACACTGGCACTGTGGAATGAATATCGTCTTCCTTCTATTCTTTTATTAATGAAACGTCACGAACGATTTTTCAATTTATAACGGATTTATTCATTTAAAAAACGGGCCTTCACTTTTTTCACAGAAAATAAAGATCACATAAAATTGCACTTATTTTACTGTAAGATAAGCACTTTATTTAAAATTTTCACTATTATTAATAATTTTGTCGGACACAAAAACAAAGTTGACACTTGTGACGTCAGAATACAGCTGTACTGAGAGTGTACAAATTCTACGTTGCCATCTATTGTACTACAGAGCGTCCCATATCATATTAGATTATCTACAAGTTTTAACGACAAAATTCGCACATAATACTCGAAAAATCTAGCATTTTCTGTAAAAAATTCTTTTAGCCTTATCAAATTTTTCAAAATGATTGATTCTTCCTAAATTTTCAGATTTGTCCCCCAAATCGTAATTTAGACCCATTGACGCGGTCTTATTTTATGTGGGACACCCTGTAGAATCTATTTGAAATGATCTAAGTTTGTAGTTTGTGGAAAAGACTTAATTCATCTCTGAATTAAAAAACGCCAAAGATGGCAACTATACCACTGTACAAGAACAAATGTAAGTATTAGAAGTCACAAAATAAAATCACCGACATTATTGAAACAATTAAAATGAATTTTTAGGAAAAATATTTTTTTTAAAAATTAGGCTATTAGGGTTTTACATAGAGTTATAAAACGAAGAGGTAAAGCTTAGCTCAGATGTATACAACAGACCTCCCTATTAATTAATCAATAGAGTGGTCGGTTGTGTACATCACGATATGTTTACGTATCTAACGCTGTACACTTGTATATAGAGTTAACGTATTTCTAAGGGGTGGTTTAATGTAGATAATTGAATATTAGTATTGATAATAAGATAGACGCTTATAATATGGATTGTAAACACAGGATTGTATACTGCTGTACATTCAAGTTCAGTTGTTTGTTTATTTTAATAAAAGTATGACCAAATATTGCAAAAATAATTCTTCTTGTAAAAATGTGAGATTTTTCAAAATACCAAAAAAATTTGCATGGCTATCCCTTTTAAGGTTGGGAGACTTCAGAGAATATCCTTCAAAAGTTGCATTTGCTCAAACCATTTTAAAGAAGGAGATATAAGTCAGGAAAAAAAACCAAGTTTGAAGAAAAATGTAACACCATTGCTCTCAACTTTAGGTGCGTTTATCTTTAACCCTATAATTTTTCAAGGCCAGCTCATTGAAATAAAATTAGATCGATAACTTTTATAGTGCTAGGGAGGGTCGAACAAAAATGCAATAAAAAGGTCGAAAAAATGTAAAAAATATTTTTTTTGGTTTAAAACAAATATCAAAATTAATGACACGTACGTTTCTACACTAATTTTTCAAGGACTTTTCAAAAATATAGTTTTCAGAACTGTAGCTTTAGTCATAAAAAAGTTATGGACTATTTTAGATTTTTTTTACATACTCCGGTTTTGTAGAGCCCTGAAGCATACCTTATACATAAAAAAAATTACTAACAAGTCCTTTAAATTTCTATTTATGAAAAGTCAAAAAACTACAGGGGGGAGCCAAACGCCACCCCCCCCCCCCCCGCCTGTTTAGGGTTAAGAGCTCCAGGTCGTCATCGTTGTTTTATCTGTTGTTGGTAACCCTGCATACACTGTCATGTTTATAATAAAGAGTTGGAGAGAAGAAACAATAAAAAATGTTTGAAATAAGAATGTTTTCAGTTAAATTCAAGCCCTAGAAACTTAATATTTTTGAGATAACTTTTAGCTAATAAATTGAAAACCTACAAATTTGAAAATTGTCAAATGTTTGCAGGCTACATCATCGAATTCTCTTTAAATAAAGAAAGAAAGTATAAAAATTGGTGAATTCCATAGAACCCCCTTAGAAATACGAACACTCTATATACAAGTGTACAGCGTTAGATACGTAAACATATCGTGATGTACACAACCGACCACTCTAGTAATTAATTAATAAGGAGGTCGGTTGTGTACATCTGAGCTAAGCTTTACCTCTTCGTTTTATAACTCTATTGTGTTTTATATAATTTATCAAAAAGAGTTCACATATACATTTAAGGAGATTAAACGTACAGGTTTTACATATTTTTTAGGAAACACTCCCTTTAATGAACAAAAACATTCCTTTATGTGTTTTTAAAAATTTGATTATCTTCAGCCGCTTACATAGACAGGACAGGAGACCTGCAGTAATTTAGCAGCTTACACAGACAGGACAGGAGACCTGCAGTAATTTAGCAGCTTACACAGACAGAACAGGAGATCCAGTAATTTAGCAGCATACACAGACAGGACAGGAGATCCAATAATTTAGCAGCTTACACAGACAGGACAAGAGATCCAGTAATTTAGCAGCATACACAGACAGGACAGGAGATCCAATGATTTAGCAGCTTACACAGACAGGACAGGAGATCCAGTAATTTAGCAGCTTTATACACAGACAGGACAGGAGATCCAATAATTTAGCAGCTTACACAGACAGGACAGGCGATCCAGTAATTTTGCAGCTTACACAGACAGGACAGGAGATCCAGTAATTTTGCAGCTTACACAGACAGGACAGGAGATCCAGTAATTTAGCAGCATACACAGACAGGACAGGAGATTCAGTAATTTAGCAGCTTCCACAGACAGGACAGGAGATCCAGTAATTTAGCAGCTTACACAGACAGGACAGGAGATCCAATAATTTAGCAGCTTACACAGACAGGACAGGAGATCCAGTAATTTAGCAGTTTACACAGACAGGACAGGTGATGGACTAATTCAGCAGCTTACACAGACAGGACAGGAGACCTACAGTAATTTAGTAGCTTACAAAAGAGATCCAGTAATTCAGCAGCTTACACAGACAGGACAGGAGATGATGCACTAATTCAGCAGCTTACACAGACAGGACAGGAGATGATGGACTAATTCAACATCGTACAAAGACAGGACAGGAGATCCAGTAAATGCATTAGTAATACACTCATAGTTAATTATGCTATAAAGTTATCAAACGTATAATTTCAATTGTTTTACTTTTGTAATCTGTGTTCTAAAAATTGACGGTGTCTGAAGCAATAATCATAATAGTCTTAACATTAAGATAAGGTATAGTTGATGGGTCATAAAACTCTCATCCTAAACTCAGTTTATAACAAATATTAAAGAAAACTCAGTCTTAGAGGATCAACAAGGAATATCAGTGATAAATAAAGTTTTAATACTCCGGGTCTAGAGATAATCAGGGAGAAGATGGAAGATCCAGGTTGCAACACAACTCTGAAGGACGAACTAGGAATAAAACCCGAAAATTACAAAATCTAGATTTCAATCAAATTAAGTTTAAAAAATTGCACCTATTTTTTACAAGATTTAAACGGGTTTTAGTTTAGATAGAATTCTAGCTGAGAATAAAAGTTTAAAAGTTGAACTTGATGTTTATAAACCTCTCCTTCTCTCTCTTGTATCTGTTCTGGTTTGCCTGGGTTTTTGGCTTCTAACTCTCGCAGTTACCGGACACAGGAGGAGCAAGATACAGAATCTATTGAGCCGGGATCAGGAGATCCTGGAGATTGAAGAAGAACGGAGTAGGAAAAGTTCCTCTCGGAGCCAGGATAGTGTTGGCAGGATTCAAGATATTGATGAGGGTGAGAGTTTTAATGAAAAATTAAACATAATGTTTGAAAAATTATATGGAAAAACGTCTTTGACATAATATTATTACTTTTATAATTTGTTTGTCCAGACTTTGCCAAGGCTAAAAATGAAACTGAATCGAAATGTCGTCGTCGTTTCCGTATTCCCGCATGTTTAATATTATAAGTTTAATTAATTATTTCTTGGTATAACAACATGAAAATGGCCTGGTTAAGCAGATTCAGTATAATTTGTGTTATATTGTTTAGTTAACTATACGTTTATACAATTAATGAATGTAATTTGAGGGCCATCAGTTACCATCAACTTTACTTCAAGTTTTCACAGAATCAGTTGGTTAGAAAATTTAGAACATTTTAGTCAGACATTCTTTATATTAGATAAAGCATTTGAGAACAAAGAGTTAGCAAGATTTAACCAAAATTCCGGTTCTTTCATTGGAGTTTATGATTACAGTAGACAGGCAAGGAGGGTTGGATTGAGGTGAAAAGCAATATTGTGGATTACAAAATTTGTTAAATTTGATTTTAATAAAATTCATTAGATTAGATATCAATTTTTATAATTTTAAAAACGAATTATTTGCAATTGTGGTTTCTCTATGAAGTGACGACAATATCTAACAAATTATTGATCAGAAAAAGATTTCAAGGGTAACGTATTTCATCTTTGAACGGAGGAAAACTTGAAATTACGCTAAGAAGAAATACTTTAGTTTGAGAAAATTTAAAAACAAAATTTTTTTTTGGTTCTTAGTTAAATTCTCGTAAATCATCGGGAAAAAACTTTAATTCAATGATGAACTTTTTAAGAAAAAATTTTTTAAGTGAAAATAAAAGTTTTATTAAAAAGTATTATAATTCAAAACTTCCTAAATAAACAAGAAAATCATCCTATTTAGAAATGTTCCTCTACTTAGCATCGTTTCCAACCCAATGAAAAAAATATTTCACAAGAAAAAAACTCCTTTAAGTATAATGCAAGTTCTGAAAACTTTGAAGTAAACATGTATTTTTTAGTAACAACGACGACATTTCTATACATCCGTTAAAGGAAATCCATATGATTTACAATTAATACTTGCCTTGAGTGGCTTATTTAATGACTTGACAAAGCAGAAAAATAAATTAATATTGTTGAAGTAAGTATTCAAAACAAAAACCTTAAATCTTAAATGTCGTCGTCGTTAGATCATGTCTATATATTCAGATTTAGAGGAGTCCAACTATCAGACAGAAGAGGAGCAGAAGAAAGTATCAGAAAATTATTTACAAAAATTGGTAAATATATTTTGTATATTTTACAATCAAATCACCTAATTTGAAATACACATCATAACCCAATTTTGGGAATTAGGGACATATGTTTTAAATATTCTAATATAAAAATTTTGAGATTAATTGCAACATAGCTGTAAATATAATATGTCTACACTCTCAATTATGTTTTTCTGCGTTGGGGTTAGGTAAGTATGTATATTTACGAGATAAAGTTTGAATTCAATAATTCACATGAATTTATTCTCATTCATACCATTACCCATCCTATAGGGCGCGAGTAAATATCTATAGTATTAGACTATAACACAATAATGTATAATTATTATCTATAAATTAACCCCTTAGACTAAATACAGAAGGGAATAGTTTTGAAGCAAGGTAAATGTTTGAATATAAACTAAGTTTGAAACTATCTTGATCCTAGTTTACATTCTCAAACCTGGGCTGGGAGATAAATAGGGTTGCCAGTATTCTCAAACCTGGGAGATAAACAGGGTTGCCAGTACTCTCAAATTTGGGAGATAAACAGGGTTGCCAGTATTCTCAAACCTGGGAGATAAACAGGGTTGCCAGTACTCTCAAATTTTGGAGATAAACAGGGTTGCCAGTATTCTCAAACCTGAGAGATAAACAGGGTTGCCAGTACTCTCAAATTTGGGAGATAAACAGGGTTGCAAGTATTCTCAAACCGGGGAGATAAACAGGGTTGCAAGTATTCTCAAACCGGGGAGATATTCTCAAACCGGGGAGATAAACAGGGTTGCAAGTATTCTCAAACCGGGGAGATAAACAGTGTTGCAAGTATTCTCAAACCGGGGAGATACACAGGGTTGCAAGTATTCTCAAACCGGGGAGATAAACAGGGTTGCCAGTACTCATTTATGTACAATCGTACTTAAGGCAGGACGTCGCAATATTTTGTAAAACAATTCGAGGAATGTAACCTACTTTGAAACATTAACGCAATTACCCCATTCATTGTACATAACTAGCAATCTCGTAGCTGTTCTAGCTTTGGTTTTTAGCCAAAATATAAAAAAAACTTATTTTTCGGGTTACATACAGGGTGTCCCTATAAACACGGGAATTTAGAGACGAATTTTATAGGGTCTTCGATCCATGCATATTTTTTTCATAAACATAATTATTGCAGTATTCCAGTTAAAACATCTTATACCGAAAGCGCCTGGTCTTCAGATTTTCAAAATGTGTTCTACCATTTTGTATCTTCAAAAATTAATTTCTTTGCTCTGCAGGAAACATCAGAAATCGAAGACAACTTTTAAGTCGTCTCTTAAAGGGAGTGTTCACGAAAAATGAAAGGGGGTATAGGCTTAGTGCGATAAAAAAGCGCTTTTGATCGCTACTAATCTTACTTCGATCTGTTGCGTCTATAAGGAGAAAATTGTTAAAGACGTCTCATACCGAATAACTTAGCGGCCATACAAATTTAGAAAATTGCAACTAGGACTTAGACGACTTAGACCGTAAAAAAATCAATTTAATTTCAAACAAATCATTCAGATATTACACCCTATAGTCATCGATTATCTTTCGCCACATTTGTATACAGTTTATATTTTATAATATTTTTAAATTAATTTGTTTATTTCTCTTGTCGCTTGCGCAACTAAATATCTAAATGATTTGTTTGAAATTAATTTGATTTTTTACGGTCTAAGTAGTATGTTGTAATTTTCTCAATGTGTATGGCCGCTAAGTTATTCGGTATGAGACGTCTTTAACAATTTTCTCCTTATAGACGCAACAGATAGAAGTAAGATTAGTAGCGTTCAAAAGCGCTTTTTTATCGCATTAAGCCTATACCCCCTTTCATTTTTCGCGAACACTCCCTTTAATTCCCATGTTTATTGGGACACCCTGTACTGGAAATCTATTCTTCTAAATTGCTCTTTAATATAATTGGATTTATGATTGGATTATGTAAGATTTAAATCTAACGTCAAAGTTACCTGAAGGAGCTTTATTTGACAAAAAACTCTAATCCCTATATTTTTGCACCCCAATTCCACTGCCCTAAGATATTTCAAACTATTAGGTCTGCTGGATCAAATAATTAGATGGATTAGAAAATTTGACCTTGCGACAAGGACTCAATTCATTTGACGTGCAGTAAAAATAACCATATTGAAATCATATACAGGGTGTTCCACGAAACATGACAGTTGGTAAATGATTTAAAATGTCTTCTTCCATAACTTGTTAAATTTTTGATACTAAAGAGAATGATAATAAATATATTATATGGCAATCATATTAAAGTAAAATTGATTTCAATGTAAAATAAGTTTGAGGAAAAGATGTTTTTTTAACGAAATAAACTGCAAAAAGTCTTTAAAATCCAATGTAATATATAGAAGAAGACATTCAAAACTAATCACCAACTGTCATGTTTCGTGGGACACCCTGTATGTACCGTGTGCATTGTACATTGTACAATGTACAGTGTTCTCTTTTCATATTTAAATCCATTATATCCAGTCTTCCATTTAATAAATATGAATGTACTGATTTGTACACTACCAGCAGAAGTGCCCGGCGTTGCCCGTGAAATTAATCAAAATTTCCAATTTCAAAGCATCGAATATAAAACCAAAGTTTTTAGCCTTTGTCACCTCCGTGTTACCCGTGGTTTTCCTCGACAATTTTGTTCAGCCGTTTAGCCAGCTATAGCGAAAATTTAAAACTTTTAAGATTTACTTAAATTGAATTTTACAATATTTTAAAATTTCTATATGATATCAGATATAACCATTTTGAGATTTCTAAATTACTTGTTTTTCATTCAATCTTCTTGATCGTTCATTGCTCGTCTATCCTTCAATCTTGGCTAATTTTGAAAATTAAAAGAAATGAATTTTTTGGATGTCCCTGTAGCTAGCCACATTGCAAGAGAAAAAAATTATTTTTCCGAACCCTGTTTCTCGGATCACTATAGCGAAAATATAAATGAGCGAGGAGCTTTATTATATAGATTCATATTCAACATTTTTGTTTAGCGATCCAAGAAGATATCTCTACCTGCAAGGATGACTGACAGATACTACACTGTATCCGAACCATCTGGAGAACTACAATCCAGACCTGGAGTATATTCTCACAACCCGAACTTTATCCGTGAACACGAACCTGAACCTAAAGCTGGACCTGGAGAGGGTTGTCTAGACACGGTTCCTAATATTCAAGTCACGAGAGCTTCCTTTGATGCAGGATCAGAAAGACTTACATAGATAATTTAACACAAAGAATCATAAATATATATGAAGGCAAGAAACATGTTTGAAAACAAAGAAAAAAACAGTAATTTCTATTAAATTTATTGATGATTTGTATTATAATTAACACACAATACAAGGAGATTAAGATTTTTCATTGGTTTGGTTAATCAGCTCCAGGTATCCTTTAGCTCTGGTGTACACTCGACCACTAGTTGAGCTCTCTAGTTCAACGCTTAAACAACGCATACAGAGCTCCAGGGTTTCACGGAGAACTTTCCGTTCCGACTCCAGTATATTCTCCAGGTTCAACTTATCCTGAAAGAGTAGATGGTATTCTCCTAGGAAAAGCTGATAAAGAGTTAAACCTCGGAATTGAGAGAAACCTGGATCCAAAATCTCAATTATACTAAAATATCAAGATTCAAAATTAATTCAAAACTCAACAAAATGTGTGTTATAACAATTACTATCAAAAAATATTTCAAGTCTCTAATTTGGACGCTTTTGAATTTCAGTCAAGATTTTTGACACCAAATTTAAGTAAAAAATAATCCAAAAAACTGATTTAATTTTGAAACTATTCCTGAGTAAATGTTTGCAAAGACCGATCTTTCGAAGTAAATCCTCCCTTGGTACTTTATCCTCGCCTCGACCATACAACTGGGATAATATTCGCTCGGTTATCAAAACCTACAAAATACAAGTTTCTAAGAGAATGTTCGCGAAATCGTAATAAAGGAATCAAAAACAAAGTAATTTTATTAGATCTGCGAAGAAAATTAATATCAAGTTGTCTTTAAAAGAGAATCGGATAGAAAAAAGATTTATTCATGAATCATCCTAGACACAATTTTGATTTTTATGCACAATCCCTTTAACATAAAAGTTACAAAATTCCTTAGTCTTCATGTTGGAACTTCAGTAGATGAGCAATGAATGTGCAGCTCAGCGTATAAACACATATTTTGTTCTTATATTTTTAAACTAGTTGAGAACTAGAGGATAGGAGGGTTTGAGAGTTGAGAACTAGGGGATAGGAGGGTTTGAGAGTTGAGAACTAGAGGATAGGAGGGTTTGAGAGTTGAGAACTAGAGGATAGGAGGGTTTAAGAGTTGAGAACTAGGGGATAGGAGGGTTTGAGAGTTGAGAACTAGAGGATGGAGGGTTTAAGAGTTGAGAACTAGTGGATAGGAGGGCTTGAGAGTTGAGAACTAGGGGATAGGAGGGTTTGAAAGTTGAGAACTAGAGGATGGAGGGTTTGAGAGTTGAGAACTAGAGGATAGGAGGGTTTAAGAGTTGAGAACTAGGGGATAGGAGGGTTTGAGAGTTGAAAACTAGAGGATGGAGGGTTTAAGAGTTGAGAACTAGAAGATAGGAGGGCTTGAGAGTTGAGAACTAGAGAATAGGAGGGTTTGAGAGCTGAGAACTAGTGGATGGAGGGTTTAAGAGTTGAAAACTAGAGGATGGAGGGTTTAAGAGTTGAGAACTAGAGGATAGGAGGGTTTGAGAGTTGAGAACTAGAGGATAGGAGGGTTTGAGAGTTGAGAACTAGAGGATGGAGGGTTCGAGAGTTGAGAACTAGAGGATGGAGGGTTTAAGAGTTGAGAACTAGAGGATAGGGGGGTTTGAGAGTTGAGAACTAGAGGATGGAGGGTTCGAGAGTTGAGAACTAGAGGATAGGAGGGTTTGAGAGTTGAGAACTAGAGGATAGGAGGGTTTGAGAGTTGAGAACTAGAGGATAGGAGGGTTTAAGAGTTGGGAACTAGAGGATGGAGGGTTTAAGGGTTGAGGACTAGAGGATAGGAGGGTTTGAGAGTTGAGAACTAGAGGATAGGAGGGTTTAAGAGTTGAGAACTAGAGGATAGGAGGGTTTGAGAGTTGAGAACTAGAGGATGGAGGGTTTAAGGGTTGAGGACTAGAGGATAGGAGGGTTTGAGAGTTGAGAACTAGAGGATAGGAGGGTTTAAGAGTTGAGAACTAGAGGATAGGAGGGTTTGAGAGTTGAGAACTAGAGGATACGAGGGTTTAATAGTTGCGAACTAGAGGATAGGAGGGTTTAAGAGTTGAGAACTAGAGGATAGGAGGGTCTGAGATTGAGAACTAGAGGATAGGAGGGTTTGAGAGTTGAGAACTAGAGGATAGGAGGGTTTAATAGTTGAGAACTAGGGGATAGGAGGGTTAAATAGTTGAGAACTAGAGGATAGGAGGGTTTAAGAGTTTAAAACTAGTGGATAGGAGGGTTTGAGAGTAGAGAACTAGAGGATAGGAGGGTTTGAGAGTTGAGAACTAGAGGATAGGAGGGTTTAAGAGTTGAAAACTAGTGGATAGGAGGGTTTGAGAGTAGAGAACTAGAGGATAGGAGGGTTTAAGAGTTGAATTTGAAAGTTTGAAGTTTGTTGCAAATAATACACGGCTGAAGAAGTTAACACTTGTCTTTGATGTTGATCTAATCCCAAGCAAATATACTTGATAGTTTGTAGATATATAAATAGTTTAGCTTAGTTCAGGATATATAAAAAGTTTAGCTTAGTTTAGAATATAAAATAGAGAGTTGTTTAACTTGGTTTAGGATATATTATAGATAGTTGTTTAGCTTGGTTTATGATATATAATAGATAGTTGTTTAGCTTGGTTTATGATATATAATAGATAGTTGTTTAGCTTGGTTTATGATATATAATAGATGATTGTTTAGCGTGGTTTAGGATAAGATAAGATAAGATAAGATAAAGTTTATTGCTAAAATAAATGTATCTGTATAAAGATAGAGTTTACAATCACAAAATTGATGATTTTATATTAACAGTACAAGTATAAAGCAATTAGGTGGAAAATAGCTCTTGGCTGTTTTGATTATTTTTTCCACCTAATTTTAGTAATTATAACAAAATATTTCAATTAAATAGATTTAAGGAGAACGATTAGAGATCAGGGTGCAAATTTATCATATGCAAAATAGTTTATACATTAATTCGAATAACTAGAGTTTAAAGTAATTTTC